ACTTGGAATAAGGTGATATAAAAATTTTATTGACTCCCTAAATCTTGATCTTATGATACCACAAAGATGAGTGGTTCAGCATCGAGTTTTCACCTTAGCTACGGTATTTCTAGCTATTTTTAAACAGGCCCGTTTCTGACAAAAGTAACTCACTCTAAATGGCATCTGTAGAGGTGAAAATTCACCCTGGGGTAAAGCATGCTCCTCCTGCAAGTAATTTACCTTGTGGAGCCTTTGAGGTAACTCCTTAAAGGCCATTGTCAAAATAACTTCTAAAATCATATGCAAAAGCTAAAGACATTTCTTTCTGCCTTTTGCCCCGTATCCTGCGGTTTAATTTTACTGGCAAACTGAACTTTTAAATTGTTTTTCCCATTTATATTTATCTTTAAGCATTCATAAATGATAAGTATATTTTTAAAAGACAATTATTATTTATCCCACAGAGAAATCTATATGGCTTTTCTCACCTAATAGGTGGTACCACCCGTCTTTCCATGCTGATGATTCTGAGGCATAGAAAGTGGGCACGGGCCTTGGATGCATGTATAACTGCTGAATGGGACGGACGTAAGAAAAATAAAAATAACCCTCTCTACGCTTCCCCAGCAGTTGCTTCATGTTGCTTAACACTTTTAATGTGAATTATAACCAGAGCAAACAGATCCTTGTTTTATATCCTAGTAGATATCAACGGCCAAAAACCCATACCCACTTCAAGCTTCATAGCACTAAATCCCTTTCTATTCTGAAGAATCTATAGATGCAGACGATATGCCAAAGTAAATTACACAGATGTCTGAACATCATTACGAGTTCCTAAAGTATGAGCAGCTCTTGTGCGAAGTGAAGATTTCACCACTTCTTCTCGGGATCTGTAACAGGAACACGTTCGACCAATAATTGAGTTGAAACAGTAATGCTATCTTCGTGAAATTAAAGTGGCAAACTTATTAAACGAGAAATCAAATGACGACTTAACATCTTATTCTTTTAGGTATGCCAAAAAGGATAAAGTTATTTATCAAAATTCATCATCGCACAAGTGGTGACCAACTTTTTATACCTATTTAAAGCAAAAAATCAAATCCAGGACGATTTATAACACCTGCAAGTAACGTTCTTTTATATGATGTACATAAATTTTCCTTTGACATGTCCCATTTTAATGATGTTTTAATAATACATATCAACGTATCTGGGAAGGAATAATTGAGAAGCCAGTAAATTTATCACTGAACAAAAACTTTAACACATATGCACATATCCGCAAACTAATAAGAATCCAAGAAATCTTAAGAAAAGATTCCAAGAAATCCAATAGCGAATTAAAACAAACAAGGAATGAAAGGACAGCAGCAGAAAAAAAAAAAAATCTGCCAAATGCTGTTTTTCAATTCACTTCCAGTCAAGCCGGAATCTGTGTCGCTTTAATGAGAAGAAATCAATTCGTAAAAAACTGTTGCTAGATCTGCTCTGTGGAGAAAGCTGTAGTAACACATGCTTACACACACACACACACACACACCCACCCCTCTCCTCTGACAGGGATTCCCAGGACACCAGTGGGGCCTCCTTTAGGCCCCTTAAGTGTTAACAGCAGAGGCCTGGCTGCCACCAGGCACCTGGCCCGATTTAAATGCCCTGTCTTCAGAGGGCTGTGGTGAGCGCGGCCATAAAACCCGGGGACATTACAGAACCTGAGAGTGTCTGATCCCCAGCCCACCACACACCACCACCACCGCCCCCCACAAAACACACACACACAATTTCACTCCTACAATTAGGGCTGCTCGCTGGCATTCCATTGAACTGTCAAAGTCAGGCCGGTGGCGGCCGCGCGGCCACAAAGAGATGCCTTAAATGAGAAGAACATGTTCCTACACCGCATTCGAGAAAGTCTGGCTCCGAGCTATGCACTGATTAATATCAGATCTCCTCCTTCCCTCGCCTCTGCGCGATCTTGTCACATCTGGCTGACAAATCCTGAGCGGCTCAGGCCAAGCCCGGCGGGGGCCGGGGGGGCCCCGGGGGCGTTGGGGACACGCGGCCACAGGGAACC